GTAGCTGCAGCCACTTATGCTCGTGTTGGAGCCCCAGCCAGGGAGGTGACCCACAATGCGAAACATATCACTCCTGGCTTGCCCGCAGGATACTTTGTTGATCTTCTGGTTCTGCTCCCCACTCTGTCTCTGTCTTGCTGTCCCTGAATCTCTGGCCTGTACTCCAGTTCTGTATGCATAAATAAAATGAATCTTAAAAAAACGCCTCTAGAAATGCAGGTGGGCAACTAAGGAAATGCAGATTTAAACCACAATGAGATACCACCTCACACCAGTGAGAATGGCACATCTTAAAACAACTAGCAAATGTTGGTGAGGATGTGGAGAAAAAGGAACTCCCCCACATTGCTGGTGGAACTGAAAACTAGTACAACCACGATGGAAAACTGTTAGGAGGTTTCTCAAACTGCTAAAAATGGAGCTTCCATATGACCCAGCAATCCTACATCTAGATATCTACCCAAAAGATACAAAAAACTGATTCAAAAAGACACCTGCACCCCCACCCTTATTGCTGCTTTATTTACAATAGGAAATACAAGTATTCAACCCAAATGCCCAAAGTAGATGACTTGATTAAAAAGATGCGGTACATATACACAATGGATTATTACTCAGCAATCAAAAAAGTTAAACTCATGCCTTTTGCAGCAAGGATGGAGCTGAAAGGGATCATGCTTAGTAAAATAAGCCAGAAAGAAAAGGAAATATATTGGATGGTTCCACTCATAGCAGGAGCATAAAGGACCTGGGGAGGGGGTGTGTGGGAAATAATTATGAACAATTATATACCAGAGACATTTTATGGGGGTGGAGTAGGGAATGGGATCATAAATGGGTGTTGGAGGGGAGTGCATGGGACTATGATGATGACACACAGATGAATTGGTGATAGGAAGCCTATGGGGGTTACAACTGAAATGGTAAAAGGCACGAAAAGATATCAAAATAAACTATTATAAAAATAAAAAAATACCTCTAGCATTGACAATCAAGCTTTCCTTTAGAAAATTCTATAATATGCTGAAATGACCAAAAGTTTTGTAAAGGAAGAAACGCAGTAGTATTCATACTTTATTCTCTTTGCAAAATAGATAAAAGTTAATATAGCAAAAGCAGTCTTCTGATTTATATTGCCATAAACATATTTGCCTGTTCTTTTTTTTTTTCCATAAAGCAGCTTTATTGGGATGTAATTCATATGCCATAGCATTTGTTCAGTCAGAATGTACAATTAACCGAGTGTATTGCATATTCAGAGATGTATAACTATTCCACAGTCAATTTTGGATCATTTCTTCACCCTCCAAAGAAACCACATACTCATTAACAGTCCTTACCCACCTCCCCTTGCTCCCCTCACTACCACTGCAGTCCTCAGTAAAAACTATTTTCTGAGTCTAGATAATTTTTTAAAATTTTTCTATAGTCTAGATAATTTTTTTAAAAATTCAGCCATGAATTCACTTGGCATTCCTGCTCATCCTAAGAGCTGCAAATTGGTGATCTCTCAGACTTTTCTGGCTTTCTAAAACCTGTTTAGATCCTTTTTTATTAGTACTTCCATTGTAGATTTAGTTTAGGAAGCACCAGTATATATATATTTTTAACTGCAAGTCTGTACTGATGGTCCTGTTGATTATTTTTTTAAAAAAAGGTTTTTTATTTATGCATAGAAGAACTAGGGTACAGACCAGAGGTGTGAGGTGGAGGTGGGGGGAGTAAGAGGATTCACTAGAGACAGAGTAGGTAGCAGACCAGGTAGAGCCACTGAAATAAACTGCTGAGGGGAACAGCAGGTGGGACAGGAGAGGTCTGTTGCACCAAGTGGGTCACCTCCCTGGCCGGGGATTGAACTCATGCTGCAATGGCTGTATATAGCTTCATAGTGCTGCACTTGAATCGGTTGTGCCACCAGGGAAGTCCCTGTTGTCATTTATTAATTGCATATGCAAGTATTCAATGGGTAAGTGAAATGAAGAAATTAGGTACAATTCTAGTAAAGTTTATCTGTATATTCCAGTTAGAATTTATTTACTAATTTCTGTATTGAGGTAACATTGGTTTACCATGTTTCATATGATTTAGAGGTGTTGGATTCCCCCACTGCACTTAAGTTGTTAACACACCACACCACCACCAACACATCCATAGTCCCCCACCTAACCCCTTATGATCCCTCCTCACTTTGTAGGGTTCAATCATACATAAAATTACCTTTGTAAGTATACTGTGTTTCTCCATAAAACAATATTATGAACTTGTTGAAATATATGGAAAAAACAACACTTAATGTAAAACAATATCATTAATTTTTTTCTAGTAAAGAATATTAATAGCAAGCAAATAATTGTCCCTTTATTTGACTGTATGAATTTTTCTGTTCTACCTATATTTGGGACATTTTATTTGAATTATTATTGCCATAAAATGCATCAAATTATCCCATGAATAGGGTAGAATTATTCATTTTACAATTATTGTCTTAGATATGACCTATCTGGGTTTTAAAGAATGTTGCCAGAGTATTTATTTTAATTCCATCAGTATTTAATGCGCTTTGCACTGAACTAAATGAACTCAGGGTTGTAAAGATGAGTAAGATAGAAATATGACTGCAAAGGGTATGACTATCTGCTAAATAGAGTTTGACCTATATGTGTGTCTGTTAGTTTTTATAGTTTATGAATGAGTGTTGAGCATTTCTTATGACCTAAGTAGATAATATTCTGAAGGAATTACCAGAAGTGAATGGTAGCCACATTAAATACACAAGTAGATGTTTTAGGATTCTTATTTGAATTACGTATAATTTACAGTTTATTATGATATAGCCACTTTTCCAACCTCTCTTTTATAAGCCGTAGTAAGTGAGAAAAGTAGATTTAATGTTGTGATGCACTGTGGGATGGAGCTCTAAAATTACCTTAACCCATCTTTCTATAGATAACAAAGGGGCCTAAAACAGTTTCCAGCAGGACATTAAGAGTGAAGAGTTCACAAGCCTGACTATGGAATTGAGGCCACCAGATAAGGGGAGGAGCCCAGTGCACTATGAGGGAGGACTGTGGGTGTGGTGTAGTAACGTGCGTCTGCAGAGGTGTGATCCGATACCTCTTGCTCATACAGTATTGTAAACCAATGTTGCCTCAGTAAAAAAAAAAAAAAATGTGTACCATAAAACAATAAAGCCATTGCAACATAGTCATAAAAGTAGCTGCTAGTTGGCCCAAGCTTTGGTGAGACAGTACAAATTATGGAGACTGAGTGGATTAAAGTCCTTCAGGAAAGGGAAAAGCTCCTATTCAGCTGTATCCTATTGTTTCTTTTTTTTTCTAATTTCTTTGTTTGTATACATTTTATATCAGGTGTCATCCCCAGAGAATTCCCACTACCAATTTACCCAACACCATCACCTCAGTCCCTTGTGAACTCTTCCTGCCCTCGTCTTGTATCCTCACCTACCGCCTCCCCTGCATAATGTCTCTGATTTATAGTTGTTTGGTTATTTTTGTTTTATTTTTTAATTGTTTTTATCTTATTCCCTGATCCCTTATTTGGTTTCCCTATATTCTCCCTATAAGTGAAACCATTCAATCTTTTCTTTCTGACTTATTTCACAGAACATGATCCCTGAATGGCATTAGGCTATCCTTTTTTTTTTTTTTTTTTTGCTGAATAATATTTTGACAAAAGAGCAAAGAATATTCAGTGGAACAAGATAGTTTGTTCAATAAATGGTGCTGGAAAAAGTGGACTGCTACATGCAAAAGAATGAAACTAAATCACTACCTCACGCCATACACAAAACTCAACTCAAACTGAACATAAGACCTGAATAAAATAAAATATATAGAAGAAAATATGGGTAAAACACTACAAGACATCTCACTAGCATCTTTAAAGACTCATCCCCCAAAGCAAAGAAAATGAAGGAAAGGATAAACAGCTGGGACTACATCAAATTTAAAAAGCTCTGTATAGGGCCCTCCCTGGTGGCGCAGCGGGTTTAAGCACAGCACTAAGAAGATAAAGCCACTTCAGCATGAGTTCAATCCCTGCCCCAGAGGTGACCCACATGGCGCAGCAGACCTCTCCTGACCTGCCCACTGCTCCCCTCAACAGTGTACTTTGTCAGTCGGCCTGTTCTGTTCCCCATTTTGTCTCTGGTGAAGTCTCTCACTGCCCCTGCACCTCTGGCCTATACCTCAGTTCTGTATGGGAAAAAAAAAAAAAAAAAGCTCTGTACAGCAAAAGAAACATTAACCAGAACAAAAAGACCCCCTACTGATTGGGAGAAAATTTTTGCACTTCACACAACTGATAAGGGATTGATCACAAAGATATACAAAGAACTCACATCACTCAGGGAAAAAAAAATTTTCGTGCAGGAATGTGGACTTTGTTTTGACCTGTCTTTATTTTTCAAGAGAAGTCAGAATTGTAAATATACATATATTTATGCATATATAAACAAATCAGTGAAATCTTCCAATTTTAACACTAGTAATAGTACAATTTTTTACTTACTGTATAAAATCTTTTATTTGGATAAATTTGTTGTTCGTGGATAAGATGAAATAAAAAGTAGCATTGGGTTGAGCTGTATGGCCTTGCCTTTCTTTTAGTGATAGGTGTATTGTAAACCTGATAAGATTAGTTCTTTCAAAGAATTTGTTTCACATCTCCAAGTACAGCTACTTTTTTCTGAAGCCCTCTGAACCATTTTGCTCACCAGATTTCTCCTGCTTTTAATTTGTAATGTAGGTGAAGGGAAGTTATGATGGGGTTAATATCACCAAAATAGTTAAAAGTTCATTATTTCAAATTTTGAAATTACTATCCTAGATGAAAATGCAGTAGTTATTTTATAGATGCCAATCAAAATTACACATATTTTAAATAATGACTAAATTGCTGTAGTGAAATTATATATATCTTCATTACTTCATTTAGTGTCACTGTGAGATTATCTCGAACAATTTTTAATTGTGTTCTAGATTGTTAGAGACGGATAGTAAGTCATTAAGATCAGTAAATGGGTCAAGAAGAAACAGTGGCTCCTCCCTTGTGTCAAGTTCATCAGCCTCAAGCAACCTCAGCCACCTTGAAGAAGATTCTTGGATTCTTTGGGGAAGAATTGTTAATGAATGGGAAGATGTGCGAAAAAAGAAGGAAAAACAAGTTAAGGTATTTGTTGAAATTATTCCTTTTAACCTCAAGGGTATAAGACATGAATTAATAAGGGATAGAATGAAGAGGAATGATTTATATGTTTTAATTTATTTTTGATCTCAAGTTTTTATTTATAGATAGAAGTTGTTAGAGAGATCGCCTATTGGTAGAAGTATGTAGCTGAAAGATGTTTGAGAAATCGAATACTTTCATTTTATAGATTCAGAAATGAAATTGAGACATTCTGCATCTTGAATTATTAGTGCTTTGCTGCTGTGCATTATTTTATTTTTTTAAAGATTTCTGGGGTGTAGGCCAGAGGTATGAGTGTGAGAGGATTCATCAGAGACAGAGTGGGAAACAGAACAGGCAGAATGAATGAAATACACTGCTGAGGGGAGCAGTAGGAGCTGCACCATGTGGGTCACCTCGCTGGCCAGGGATGGAACTCTTGTTGCAGTGGCTATGGATAGCTTTGTAGTGCTGAGACATAATAACCTTTTGTACCACCTTTTTTTTTCTGGGAGCCCTTTGTGAAAGATTTTGACCTGAATGGACTATCATTCAGTATTCTGCAGATTATCAAGTGCTTAATACTTTTAGAGGCCACATCTCAAGTGAAATGATAAGAATTTATCAATGGCATTTTTGTCCCACTGGCCAGACAGAATACACTCAAGGACCAAACTGTAACCCTAGTTTCATAGTGTTACAAATCTAGTGTTTTGAGTTAATAAATTTCATAAAGTTTTCTACCCTACTTTAACCCCAGTAAATTTTCTTTGGCTTCAAGCTAGCAAACTTAAAGAATTCATTTAAAAAATTTTACTCACTTTTATTTTTAGGAACTTGTTCGTAAAGGAATACCCCACCACTTTAGAGCAATAGTTTGGCAACTTTTATGCAGTGCACAAAGTATGCCAATTAAGGATCAGTATTCAGAGCTCCTGAAAATGACCTCACCTTGTGAAAAATTGATCCGAAGGGACATTGCTAGAACTTATCCTGAACACAACTTTTTTAAGGAAAAAGATAGCCTTGGACAAGAGGTTTTATTTAATGTAATGAAGGTAAGTCCTATTTATTCACTTTTTGAAATGAAATAAATTCTCAATACTGACGTGGTGTATTGCCCACAGTGAAGTATTCACCCTAGTAACCAGTTGCTTTGATTATGAATTCATACTTTCTTCTTTGATTTTGATGCTACATTACTGTCTAGTTTGAAGAATTTATTAAAATATTCATTATATTAGTTGACTAAAAATAACCTATACCATAGCTATTTCATAGAGGTACTCTATGAAAATGAATTAATTCACTTGGGAATTGCACCATTGGTTGCTATGGCCAGTATTGTTGGAAATCCTTAAAAGCATTTATGCTTTTGTAATATTTTATTTAAATTATTTTCCTCTTTTCTATAGTTCCTTCCCTTTCAACTACCTTTATAAAAATATTGGCTGCTTATTAAAAGATTTCAGCTTTGCTTTATCTTAACCCTAATTTAATTTTATTTTTATAATGTATATTATGTGCATCTATATAATGTATGCTCTTCAGTGCTTTTAAAACATCCATACTTTTCTAGGTAAAAATTCCTTTTTTTTTTCTTTGCCTTAGGAATAGCCAATTTCTAATTTGGAGATTTTTTTTTAATTATGCAATAAAACATTTGCATTTTAAATATTTATAGGATAACATCTCAACATTTTTTTAGGATTTTATAGGAGAAAGGTATAATATATTGTGTTTAAGTATTTTGAACATTTTTTACTTTTTAGGCCTATTCTTTAGTGGACCGTGAGGTTGGTTACTGTCAAGGAAGTGCATTTATAGTTGGATTATTGCTAATGCAGGTAAGTTAATTAAGCTAATACAAGTATTGTAAATCCAGTTAAGTTCTTGATTTGAATCGAATAGGCTGGTTTTTGCATCTCACTTTTGCAGCGTTTCTATGAACTTGGTCTAGATAATTAACTTCTCTCTTCGAGCCTTAATTAGCTAATACTGTCTGCTTTCAGATTCATTCTGTTTTTAAGAAGACCCAGATAATATGTAAAGCCCAGTTCAGTAAGAACGTACCTTAGTAGATAAAAGCAGAAGAGACAAAAGCTGTCCAGATGCTTTGCTTCAGTTTCTTAACAGTTCTGTTTAAGTTTTAAAGCTCTGTAACTATCAGGAATATACACATTACTTTTTCTTGTAGCAAGAACCTAATATCAGCAGCTCTCCTGCCCATTTGTGACTATGCTGGTGCCTCTTTTTCTTTCTCCTTTCTCTAAGCCTGTCCTTTTTATTAAAAGCAAACAACTAAAAAACAAACAGAAATTGATGTCAGATAAGCTTTTATAGTAAAAATGCCTGATTTTCACTTTGTCTTATAAGAGTTGCTTCTAGTTGCATGATATTTGTCCATTTCTGGGTGACATTAAATTACAAATAACAAAAACAAAATATGATTTATTAATATTGAGATGTAGCAGTTTTGCACAGTTGTGATTACCCTACACTTATAATTGGTACATTGGTAGGCTTTTCATTACTGAACTCAGATATCCCAGTTTTTAGCCTAATGATTTTTGCATTAATTCTCTTCCTTTTAATTTCATATTATGCCATTATAACTTTTGAATAGTCATTTCTGTTGAGCATTTAAGAGCAGTTTCTCCTACTTGAGATATAAGTCTCATGATAGTTGACCGTTCTTCTCTGGGAACCTTAAGTGGCCATCACACTTTCCTTCAAGACTCTACAGGTCTACAGGCAGTGCTAGTGCTGGTGCTGATGTGGTTCTTTCAGTGGTTGATTTACTTTATTATTGTCAGTGGCATCTAATACTCTCCCATAACAACAATCACTTAATAGCCCAGAGCCACAATTTAGAAAGTGTGGTACAAGCAGATCGAAAAGCCCCTTTTTGTTTCCAAAGCTTACTCTTATATTCTATGCTCTATTGCCTTCCACAACTGTAGCTTAGAAACATTGACAAGGGTGTAGATGCCGGTAGGATCAGTGTGTAAGAATGGAAAAATTCTCTTCTAATTGCTTCTATGGAGAAATAAATTGAAACTGTAAACAAGTGATTAGTTTAGAGTTGAATAGAGATTTAGAAACTTGAGGAGACTAGTTTTGGGTTTTTTATGCAATCACTTTCTGATGTCTCAGTGTAGTTGTAGAGTTGGATTTATACAGAGGTGAAGTTTTTCAAATGAAATGATGGGAATATGAGAGAGAGAGTCAGAAACTAATGTGGATTTGATTGAATAAAATGAACATAGGCTGCAAAGTGAGCACAGGAGTTAGGAACAGTAGAAAGTTAGTGCTGTATGAATGAAAGTTCTTGCAAGATCAGAACACTGTAAATGTTTTTGTACTAGTCTTCATTGCAACTCTGTGAAATAAATACTATTATCTTTTGATAGGTGGTAAAAGTGGGCAACAGAGAAGTTAAATGATTTACTAACGATCACCTATCAGTTAAGTGGGATTTGATCTTTACGTGGTATATGGCTCTAGAGCCTTAACTAACAACTGCCTGCTAGGATCATTTGAAGAAAGGGAGACAAACATCTGCTAGACAGGAAATTATCTTCATGAAAATGTGTGGTTGCTTTTGGGTGGGGAGGGGTGTGACCTGAAGGTTGTAGAGGTTAGTGATGGTTGATATTTGTGGGTATGTGTTTCAGAGAAAGGAACTGTTAATGTTGTAGACATGGCAGTGAGACTCCAGGAGGGACTCACAGCTCTCTAATCGTTTGTTCCTTCCAACACCAGGGGAGACAAGACAGTTACCTTAAGGGAAAGCCAGGTGTCTGTGTTGAAGTATTCTTATGGGAGAGACAGATTTCAGTTAGAGTAAGAACATTTTCAAAAAGTGATTAAAGATATAGGTAGGAGTGTTGATAGTAAATTAGAATTTCAGAAAGTGCTGTGGAAAAGGTTTATGGAAGGTTGGGAATGGGGTTAAATTAAAGGGAGCAATAGCACCACACAAGATGAAAGTTCTGGATCTGGTACTTCTGTGACTGTCATGAATCACTTAGAATATAGTGATTGGATTGATAAAGATGGTCTCCAAGGCAGAATTGTGTCTGTAAATGTTGAGGAAGGAAGGAGGCACAGTTGTCATCAAGAGTTAACTCTTGGGCCCTCCCTGGTGGCACAGTGGGTTAAAGCACAGCACTAAGAAGCTTGAGCCACTTCTGCATGAGTTCGATCCCTGCCTGCCCCGGAAGAGATCCACAGGACTGGCAGACCTCTCCTGACCCGCCCGCTGCTCCCCTCAGCAGTGTACTTCCTCCATCTGCCTGTTCTGCTCCCCACTGTGTCTCACCCTCTGCATCTCTGGCCTGTACCCCAGTTCTGTATGAATAAATAAATCTTTTTTAAAAAAAGAGAGTTAACTATTGGCTTCTGTGCTTGGTTGTGTCAAAACCAGAAAAAATGTATTGTTAACAGAAACAGTCTTCGTAAGGAGAATGCCCAGAAATCATTTGAGGTTTCCTCTTTTTGTGTGTGTGAAATAATTTAATGGAAAAATACATGTATATAGCATAAGGGCCTGCCATCCAGTAGTGCTCAATAAATATTATCATTTCCAGATTCTTCTTCTCTGTGACAGCAAACTTCAGTTTACTCTTATAATATCAAGCTTAGTCTTGATATTTGCTTTGTGTCCCAAATTTAAGATGTGTTGTATGCCCATGAGCAATCCCCGCGGTGCTCCCTTAAAGTCAGTTATAAAAACAGAGTTATTATTTTTTTTAATAATATAAAACATTTTATTTTTAAGATGTTGTCCAGGTGTTTTAATGACATTGGGAAATATTTGACATACATTTGAGATCGTTATTTTAAATTAAAGAGTAACTTAAATGTTGCTGTTGATTAGTTGTCTGTCTTCATCTCTAGACTCTAAATTCCAAACAGTTAGAAATTACTCTTACTAATTCACTTTTGTATCCAAAGTACCTAATCTGGTTTGTGTATATTTCCTAAAATAATTACTTTCCTTTTAAAATCTAGATAATTAGTAGCAACACCTCTATCACCATAATAGCAAGAAAATAGCTAGAGTGTTAACTTTTGATGCTGGAGCTTTAACTTGAGATGATCTCTAATTTTATGAGACCAAAAAAAAAAAAAAAAAAAGGCTGCAGTCCAATAACGAAAAGTCCTTGGTCTCTTAATAAAGTCATAATGATAACTTGTATCAGGGGCGGTGTGGGCTCTTATTTAACAGATTCCATCACTGAAAAACATGACAAGAATTGGAGAAAAAAAATTACTTCATGGTCTTCTAGATACTGTTGGTAGTTAAATAATATCCACAGAGACCAAGTCAAATTGGTGCTGGTTTTGCAAAATGTGTTAGGCATGCAAATGGCACACAAGGTGATTTCAGCTGATAAATACATGGGTGAACCTTTGTTTCAGTAGTTGAATATTTAAGATGCTTATGTAAGAAAAATTTAACTAGCACATCACATCTTTGATTTCATCGCTATATTTGCCTTATAGTGTCATCTACAGCCCTTTGTAATTTGTTTCACTGATACTTGTTCTCCATAGCCTCAGTTCTACTTATATCTCTACCCTTAATTCTGTTATCCCTATGGTAGCTTATTCCCTGAGCACACCAATCATCACTCCATTTCATGGTCTTTCTATACTCTCCTGGGACTGTTGTTTGCTTCCTTGAGTATTCTGTTCCCTTATCAAGGGACTGTGCTTGACCTACTGACATAAATAGCAGTTTGTGTCCCCAGCATTCTGGTACCCTACTTTATCTTCTTTCTGTTGTATTCATCATCATCTGACGTGTTTTAATTTATTTATTCATGTCTTGTATCTCTCCCACCACTAGAAAATACAAGCTCCTAGAGGGTAGACATTGTATTTGTCACTGGTATATGTATCTGACTTTGAATAACTATAATTATAATGTAATATGATTAAAATGAAATAAATATCTGACTTTGAATGAATCTTTGTTGGTCAAATTAATGAATTAGGTAAGCAAGGCGATTGGTCTTAGAGGTTGTAAAATTGGTTTAACTTTTCATTCTCTGTGATAGAACAGAGGTTAGAGACTTCTGGTTTTGATTCACTGTTGTTATCATTACATCACATGGCCACTTAAGAGGCATTTAACTAAATACTTAGAATGAATGGGTACTTGTTTTATATATAATTCTTACTTGTATATCACAAAATACTGTGTTGCTTTCTTCCTCCCAATGTAGATGCCAGAAGAAGAAGCTTTCTGTGTATTTGTTAAATTAATGCAAGATTATAGACTTCGTGAACTTTTTAAACCAAGTATGGCAGAATTGGGCCTTTGTATGTACCAGTTTGATGGCATGATACAGGTAAGAGTATAGTGGTAACAAAAAGGCATGTTGTCTGAATTTTTTGTCATCATGGTTGAGAAATAACTAAGTAAACCGAATGTTAAAAGCAATAAAATAGTTGAAAAAAGTCATTGTTTCAATCAGAGGAGCGATTTGTTGGTCAGTTACCATGCAATTTAGTTCTGTTTCAGCACTATATCTAGGTATTAGTTGGCAGTCTGGAACTTGTTTGTAATTTTAATACTTAAATGGTATGTTTCAAATGTGTCATAACCCCATGCCTAAATGCATGAGTTTTCTTATCACTCCCTCTTATATCCAATTGCTGTTACCTAGAACCTGCTATCTTACAGAGCCCACATGATAGTGATGTTAATGCATTTCCTTTGAGATTGTGTGTTCTGTCTCTTTCAGTCCTTTCCCTGCCTTCCCTTTTTTACCTCACTTTTTTGCTAAGCTGTAATCTTGTAAAAAATGTTTCTACAAACTTTGTAATAAAAAAAATGTTTCTCCACTTAAGTTGCTGGTCAAGGATGTTAAATTTATGTTACTAGTCAGATTCTAGTGAGGAATCAAAATCAAGTAAGAAATACCTTTTAAATATTCTACCTTTCTGAATTTAATATTTGATGTTATTATTCTGTAACATAATGGTATCTTCTTATTTACTTAATTTCCAGTTAGGTAAGCAGAACTTAAGAATGTAAGTTAATGATTCAGCTTGCTTGGGAGCCCTTTTTCTGGGTCTCATTAGCCCTAGTAGCCTTATCCTCCAGGATTTTTTTTTTTTAAGATTTATTTATTTATGTATACAGAACTAGGGTACAGGCCAGAGGTGCAGGGGTGGTGAGAGGATTCACCAGACTCATAGTGGGGAGCAGAACAGGCTGACCGATGAAGTACGCTGCTGAGAGGAGCAGCAGGTGGGTCAGGAGAGGTCTGCCGTGCCAGTGGGTCACCTCCAGGGCTGGCGGGGTTTGAACTCATGCTGCAGTGGCTTTAGCTTCTCAGTGCTGTGCTTTAACCCGCTGTGCCACCAGGGAGGGCCCCCCTATAGGATTTTTAAACCCTTTACCTTATGTAGGTGTGGTCAGAAGAAAGAAGTATGCAAAATGTTTTTATAGTTTAAAGAAAAAGACAGTGTAGCTCTTAAGTTTATTCTTAATTTTCTGAAATAGTAAACTTTTTTCCAACCTTAGACTTTTTCTTGCTTCATTTTCATTAATATTTACTTGGTGATGGGAAACCCACCGGGATTACAATTGAGATTAAAAAAAAATGTACAGGCCCTCCCTTGTGGCGCAGTGGGTTAAAGCATAGCACTGAGAAGCTTAAGCCATGAGTTCGATTCCCGCCTGCCCCGGAGGTGACCACATGGCGTGGCAGACCTCTCCTAACCCGCCCACTGCTCCCCTCAGCAGTGTACTTCGTTGATCTGCCTATTCTGCTCCCCACTCTGTCTCTGGTGAATCCTCTCACCCTCCACATCTCTGGCCTGTACCACAGTTCTATATGAATAAATAAATAAATCTTAAAAAAAAATGTACAAAAAAAAATTTAATTTGTTTAGAATTACTATGTAACGAGTCACCGAAACAGTTTTATTTAGGATTAGAAGGTAGGAAGGTCAAGATAGGTGACCATTGGTACATTTTTTTTTTTACATTATAGCTTATAGAAAAGTACAGAAAATACCAGATACTCATGCACCCATTAGAAACATTTAAACAAATGTAAAAATGGTTTTACTTGTTTCATTTTTTCATTTCATTAATAAGTCAAATGTTATAATAGTGAGTCCAATTCCATATTGTTTTTTCTTCTTCCTTGCCCAGAGAGTAATCAGTACCTTGAATGCATCAATTTCTGTATCTTAAGCTTACCATGTGATGCTTGATCTTATCTTTGTGTTTGGTGTAGGAGAATCTAGTTCATATATAATTATCTAGCTTAACATACTCAAATTTCCATGTTTTAACTAATTCTTTTCTTCACTTTAGGAACATCTTCCAGAGCTCTGTGTACATTTTCAATCTCAAAGTTTTCATACCTCAATGTATGCATCATCCTGGTTTCTGACTATCTTTCTTACAACTTTTCCACTCCCAATTGCAACAAGGATATTTGATATCTTTATGTCTGAGGTAAGCTAATGGGAAGACTATGAGAAAATGCTGCACAAAAAAGTCTCTGGGTTAATTATAGTCAGGCATTGAGGACAATAAAGCTGTGTTCCATGCTAAACTACTTACATCAGTAATCTCATTTAACCCTGAATTGACCCTCTCAGGTACTGTTAGTGTATCCATTTCATAGATGATAGAAAAGGATGCTGAGCTTAGAGATAGGTTAAGTAACTTACCTGTGAACACATGGTACATTAGTGATCTGGTAACAAGGATTAGGATAGAGGCGGTCAAGATCTGGAACCTACGTGTTTCGTCTCCTCATTGATTTAATAAGAATTAGTGAGATAATATTTGCATTACATTGATGCATTGCACACCAATGCATCTGTTGCCCAAAGACTAAGAAATAATGAGTATAATTAAGTTTTTTTTTTTTGAAGAAACATAATGAAGAAATCACAGGTAGTCTTTTAGTTGTTATTAACATTTAATAGTGAGAAAGTAGGAAGATAAGCATTAGGTGATCGATGGTAAATAGCATCTGAAAATGTTCGTTGTTAACAGCTACATCTTAGGAAGGTAAATTTGTAATAGCTATGTAAAATAGCTCACTGTGTGATCTGCAAACTATGATTCACTTACTGATCCATTCTGGTTTGCCTGACGACATCTGTCCTTTGACTTGTTTTTGTAAATGAAGCTTTCTTGGAAAGCTGCCATGCCCATTTGTTGCTATGCTGTCTGCTTTGCCTACAATGACAGAGTTTGTGTGTTTGTGACAGCAACAATATGCCAGCATGCCAGCAAAGCCTAATGTAACTGCTATTCCGTTATTTACAGAATATGTGAACATTTAGATCTTAAATGTTTACTGTAGTTTTCTTTTGAAAGATTAGTGATTGTTGAAAGAATAAGACAAATTTGGCTATATACATATGTAATTTGTTTCCGCAGGGTTTAGAAATAGTGTTTCGAGTAGGATTAGCACTTCTTCAGATGAATCAGGCAGAATTGATGCAACTCGACATGGAAGGGATGTTACAGGTAAGTCAGTACATGATTTGATTTCTGGTATGTCTTTAGCTTTTACTACTAATAATGAACAGCACCAAATAGTTCTTTTAATTTTCTTTTGTTGTATCTTAGCACTTTCAGAAGGTCATTCCACATCAGTTTGATGGTGGCCCAGACAAATTAATCCAGGCAGCTTACCAAGTCAAATATAACTCAAAAAAAATGAAAAAGTAAGTATTTTGGATTTTGATTATTAGCCATGATTGAAACATATGGGAATTTAATAGAAATGGCACAGAGCATTCACGTGATAGTGCAGTTCTCTTTTAGAAAAAGTTTTTTAGAAAAGTTGAAAAAATCTTGGCTCATCAAGATTTTTTGAATTATGTAAGTGGTTAATTAAGAATGACAAATTTGGGCCCTCCCTGGTGGCGCAGCGGGTTAAAGCACAGCACTAAGAAGCTAAAGCCACTTCCTCATGAGTTCGATCCCCGCCTGCCCCAGAGGTGACCACATGGTGTGGCAGACCTCTCCTGACCCGCCTGCTGCTCCCCCCAGCAGTGTACTTCATTGATCTGCCTGTTCTGCTCCCCACTCTGTCTCTGGTGAAGCCTCTCACCGCCCCTGAGCCTCTGGCCTGTACCCCAATTCTGTATGCACAAATAAATAAAATCTTTAAATAAAAAAAAATGACAAATTTTACTCTTCTAGTTTCTAGCACTTACAGAAATCTTATCTCTTGGTGATAGTTTGCATTCCTGGTATTATTTTCAGGCAACAGTATGCCAGAAATGCTTTAGAGATAGCAGAATGAAGGAAATAAAGATTAGAGCAAATATACATGAAATAGAAAAATAATAGAGAAAATTAACAAAACTAAAAGTTTGTTCTTTGCAAAGATTTGAATAACTGACAAACCTTTATTTAGGTGATCTAAGGAAAACTCAAATTGCTAAAGTCAGAAGTGAACAAGGGACCTCACTAGCAATTCGAAACAAATAAAAAGAAGTATAAGAGAGTTTTATGAATAATTATATGGCAACAAATTAGGACAATCACAAAACCTGTGAAGACTAAATCAGAAATAAATTTTTAAAATCTTTTTGCATTTCAAGTAAGGAGCTTGAATCAGTATTCAATAGTTTCATGACTAGAAGCCCTGGACCTCTTTTTTTTTAAGATTTATTTATTTATGCATACAGAACTGGGATACAGGCCAGAGATGAAGGGGCGGTGAGAGTATTCACCAGAGACGGAGTGGGGAGCAGAACAGACCGACTGACGAAATTCACTGCTGAGGGGAGCAGTGGGCAGGTCAGGAGAGGTCTGCCATGCTTTGTGGGTCACCTCCATGCAGGGATCGAACTCGTGCTGAAGTGGCTTTAGTTTCTTAGTGCTGTGTTTTAACCCGCTGCGCCATCTGAGAGGGCACTGGATCTCTTGATTTACTACTGAGTTCTACTAAACATTTAAAGAAAAATTAATATTAATTCTCAAACTTTTTCAAAAATGAAAGAGAAAGAAATACTTCTTACCTCATTTTATGAGGCCAGAATCTCCCTGATACCAAAGTCAGGTAAAGACTTCACAAGTAAAGAAAGCAACAGATCAATACTTAGGAACATTGGTGCAAAAATCCTGAACAAAATATTCACAAGCCAAGTTTTACAGCATATTAAAGGGGTTATATACCTAGAATGCTAATTCCTAGAATGCAAGGGTACTTCAACATATAAAAATTGACCTGTGTATTATACCATACAGAGAAAATGGGGAGAACCTTCAAAAGGATCATCTCAAGTAACGTAGAAAAAAAATATTTAACAAGATTCAGTATATTTTCATGATAAAAACACTCAGTGAACTAGAAAAGGAAGGCAATTACCTCAATATAATAAGTCAGTATATGAAAAACACATAGAGAACATTATTTTCAGTGGTGAAAATTTTTTTTTAAGATGAGGACAAGACAAGGCAGAGATGCTTGCATTTACCACTTTTATTTAGTGTAGTATTGGATGTTCTAGCCAGATAACTAGGCAAGGAATAAAAAAGTGGAATTCAAATTATAAAGGAAAAAGTAAAGTGATCTGTTTTGCAGGTGACAGCTGCTTATGTATAGAAAAATCTAAAGATTCTACAAAAAAATTTTCAGAGCTAAGAAGTGAATTAAATAGGTAGTAGGAATTAGTACATAAAAATCAGTTGTACTTCTGTACACAAAGAACATTCCAAAAAGAAAGTTTAGAAATTTGGGGCCTCCCTGGTGGCACAGATGTTTTAAGTTTCATCGCTATCAAGCTATCAGCAGTCACTGCTGCATGAGTTCAATTCCTCTGCTCCCCTCAGCAGTGTATTTCAGTCGATCTGCCTGTTCTGCTCTCACTTTTTCTCTGGTGAATCCTTTCACCCCTCCCACCCCTTCCCCACACACATGCCTCTGGCCAGTGCTTATAGGCATAAGTAAATACAAATAAATCTTAAAAAGAAAATTAAGAAAACCATCCAGGTTACAAGAGTATCAAAAGAATAAAATACTTAGGAGTTGACTAAGTGAATAATTTGTGCAGTGAAAACTTTAAAATATTCCTGAAAGAAATTAAATGGAAGCACTTTGAGTGTTCACAGATTAAATGGTTTGATATTGTGAAGAAATTAATATTAACCATTGTGGCATATAGATTCAATGCAATCTCTGTCAGAATCCTAATAATACATTTTTTGCAACAAAAATACATCCTACAAATTTATATAGACTCATAAGGACCCTAAACATCCAAAATAATTTAGAAGGAAAAAAACCTAAAACTTTAATGGGAGGACTTAAATTTCCTGATTTTAAAACTTAACTACTAAACTGCAGGAACCAAAACCATGTGGTGCTAGACTAAATATATGCATGTAAATCAGTGGACTAAATTATCCAGAAATAAGCTCTCATACAGGCTTGTTTAGACCACTCAGAGAAATACTATTTTTCAACAAATGGTGCTGGGGCTATCCATATGGAAAAAAGAAAGTTGGACCCTTACCTAACATGTATAAAATTAAGTCATTAACAATCAGAGATTTAAATATGGGGCATCTCTGGTGGCACAACAGGCTAGTGCAGCACTGTGAAGCTGCCACTGCTGCAGCACGAGTTCGGTCCCCAGCATGGGAGGTGACACACTTGGCTGGCAGACCTCCCCTGTCTCACCCGCTGCTCCCCTCAACTGTGTATTTCAGTCAGTCTGCCTGTTCTGCTCCCCACTCTGTCTCTGGTGAATCCTCTCACACCCACACCTCTGGCCTACACCCCAATTCTTGTATGCATAAGTAAATCTTTAAAAAAGTTTCATAGTCAAATTTGGTATACTGTAATTTTTAGTTAAGGTCTAGTTCTGTACAGATATATTTTAATTTACAAGGGAAGGAAGATAGCTCTTTTGTAATTTTATGGCTGAATAGAATCTGTTAACTCAGCTCTGTTTGGTATCTTAGCTATTTTACCTTTGACAGTGTACTTTTTTATAGTTCTTTTTTTGTTTGTAATTTTTTTTAGAATCTGTTAACTCAGCTCTCTGTTTGGTATCTTAGCTATTTTACCTTTGACAGTGTACTTTTTTATAGTTCTTTTTTTGTTTGTAATTTTTTTGGGGGCAAGAAACCATGTAATTATTCATGATTTTTTTCATATCAAGTTACAAGCTAGGGAAACTTAGTAAAATTATATTTTATGTTAACACATAGTTTTAAATTTTATAATTTACTAACTAGTTTAGAAACGAAAATCGTCCTTTAACTTTTTTAGGCTTGAAAAAGAATACACTACAATAAAAACTAAAGAAATGGAAGAACAAGTTGAAATTAAAGTAAGTATCTTAAAACTTGTAAGAGTACTGAACATAGTTGAAGTCTGTTACCTGACAACAGAGGATGGGTTATGTTGATATTTTTGTTGCCTATCTGTGGTAAATGAGGTGTGTATTTATTTATTGATGAAATTCTTTACCATCCCTGTAGCTTATGGTTAAAATAGACATTTCAAAAAATGGAATAATGTGATGAAAGTGGTTTTAATTCTAGTGCAAAACTGAGTAACTCTTCCCTATTTCTAGATTTTTTTGGTATGTCATCAGGAGAAAATATTTCCATAAGGAAATCCATAAAGTCATTCAAGTGTCTTTTAAAAGTTGCAGAAAGGATAATATGCTAAGACTAAAGTATGATAATTATTCATATGATTAGTAGGCCATGTAGAGCCATTCTTTTCACTAGAACTAATTATGACTGCTGTGAAACTGCAGAAACTTTCAAATAATTTGTTTTTCCCACCTCTAAGCGAAAGTTATACTCCTGGACCGCTCTCCAAAGAACCATGTAGATTTGCAGTTTAAAGGACATAAAAATTTCTGTCTGTACCTGCAATAAATTCTTAAGTTGAGAATCTTTTGCATTGTTTGCACTGAAAGTTAAAGAAACTTTGTATGACTTTTCATGCTGATGTTCAGGATGGGGATGATGATGACGAGGAGAAAGATGGTGCAGGAATTCATTGATGGGCCAATCTTTTATTGTTGTCATTCCAAAAGAAACAAAAAGCCATTTTTATTGTTTAGCTCTGTTTCTTTTCTTTTTTTTTAATGTGCTTGGGTGTATCTGATTTTTTTACATGGACCTGGCAAGAAATTATGACCTAATATTTGTCATTTATTAGTCATGTATTCAACCTTGCAATAACATATCGTGCATGACTCAGTCCCACATGTCCTCTTTGTAGCAGGATGTTAAACTAGCACTCTGTCTTGCTGGGGTCCTGCTTTAAAACCGCTGGGATGACAAACTCTTCTACTTTTTTATGTGATCTCTCTTTCATCAGCACTGTCTCCCATTTCTAGATGTTTTATTTCCATTTCTACCTCCTGCACCCTACCAATTGGAGACAGATACTTCTGCATTTTTCAGAGAAAGAGAGAGAGAAATAAGCTCTGTGGATGTTTTTCCTTTTTATAATTTCTGTCACCCAACTGCTGCTCTACCATTTGCTTTTCTTTTAGGTACCATGAGTAAGGGTAATAATTAAGTCACACCCTGCACTTCAACCTACCGAAAGTAAAATGTACGCCATCCTGAGTGGGCAGAAAGTATGGGTTATCACATACCATGAATATTTGGAACTACAAATCAATAATGTGAGGATGGGGAGGCCATCCTGTTCATTTCACCATGCTGTGACATTGCAAAAAAAAAAAATTCAGTTCTGGGAACAATCACTGCTATTGAAGATGTTTCTTCTAAAATTAAATCACATGATGTAGGAATATCAAGTCCTTTTCAAAAAGATCTCTAGCCCTCTTTAACCTGATTTGCAGTTTTTTCAAACTTGGCTTTTTAGGGAAGATTATAATTCATATACCTCACAAAATACTTTTGAATGTCTACCCATGCATCTTAGGCAAAAGCAAGTGGCATAATAGTATGAAAAGAATTGAAAAAGAAAGTTAAAAAAGTTAGTGGAACATAATGGATAAATAAACGATGCTGATCTCAAAGGTAGACTGTTCCTTCTATACATAGTTCCTACTTTTTCTTTTCATCTTTTTATTCACTCTTCCTAACCCCAAAGGACAAAGCCAAGACACTTTGTGTGACTGCACATTTTTGCTTTGTCTGATTTTTGACTTGGACATGATAATTCTTTCAAGTCATAATGCAGATGTATACCTCATTTACATTTAAATAATTATATATTATTTGAACTTTTCTCTAAGATGAGAACTGCTACAGCCTTACGTTCTCTTCCCTTCACCATAAGGTCACTTTTATAAAGGAATGATTTCAATTAAGGTGATACATCTTGCCTTCAGTGAGAAAGTCTTATACCATTTCTTATAAAAGCAAATAGTAGGGGCCCTCCCTGGTGGTAAAGCGGGTTAAAGCACTGCACTAAGAAGCTTAAGCCAATTCTGCATGAGTTCGATCCCTCGATCCCCGCCTGCCCCGGAGGAGATCCACATGGCGCGGCAGACCTCTCCTGACCCGCCCACTGCTCCCCTCAGCAGTGTACTTCGTCGATCTGCCTGTTCTGCTCCCTACTCTGTCTCTGGTATCCTCTCACCCTCCGCATCTCTGGCCTGTACCCCAGTTCTATATGAATAATTAAATAAACCTTTAAAAAAAAAGCAAATAGTATAATGAACTTCAAATTTGACATGGAAGGAAAGAAGTGAGCTTTTATGTTTAAAATGTGTTTGAGGTTTCTATTATTTTTTCCTTAATTGAAATTCTAAGACCTTTGGGTTGATGACCTTTATTCTAATGATTATATCTGTCAGCTCAAGATACAACTTTCAAATATTTCTCATCCTTTTCTCTGAAAGTGTTACAGGAATATTTTTTAAAGATTTATTTATTTATGCATATAAGAACTGGGGTACAAGCCAGAGGTGCAGGGAGTGAGAGGATTCACCAGAGGCAGTGGGGCACAGAACAGGCAGATTGAAATATGGCAGGTGAGACAGGAGAGGTCTGCCACACCATGTGGGTCACCTCCCTGGCCAGGGATTGAACTTATTTTGTGCTGCAGTGGCTGTGGACAGCTCCATAGTGCTGTGCTTTAACCTGTTACACCACCAGGGAGGGCCAGGAATGTTTTTATAGTAATTTTTTTCTGTGTAGAATGTTACATTTTACTGCATCAGATTTTTTGATAATAAAAACATCTTTATCAGTATCTTCTGCCAATCTGTTTATGTTCCACCTGAAGGGTTGGCAGTAAGAAGTATAAAAATTCTAACTTATATTAGGGTAACCCCAAAATGTTTAAAAAGCAAAACTTTTATCCTCCCACTCTTTTTAAGACAGATATGTAGATTGCTAATCTAATATTCATAATTAAACTTGTGGGACATGAAGGTGCAAAGTCCTAGAAATGGTATATTAGAAATTCTGTTATTTATTTAGTCAGTGTTTAAATATTTTTTATTTAAAACATTACAAAAATTCCAAAATACAAAGAAAACCAGAGGACAGTATAAAAACACTTGTATATTCACTGACTGTCATCAAAAAGGGAAAACATAATGAATATTATCTAAGTTAAGGAATTATATTTAACAATCAGTGTGAAGTAGTGGCATACTTTCATTCAACACTTAATATGTGAAGGGCCATTTACAATAGCTTTTAAAATTCTTAGTAATAGCTTTATAGAAGTCCTTATCTTTCCATGTAGAAACTAAGTCTCAGAAAGCTCAACTAATTAGCTCAACTAATGCCAGTCATCACATTTTACAAACTCCAGTTTGTGTTATTCTAAGGCCTGTGTATGTTCTTCGTTACCTATACTTTGTTGCTTTCCAGAAGACTTTAGTGTACTGGAATGTGGGAAGAATTTGGATGCCCATTTTACAGCAGCATTACTTTTAAAACTTGCACTATGTAGTCATTAGTACAACAGCATAATTTATTTTCAAAATAAATTTATTCATTTAGCAGATATTTAAAGTGCCTACTTAATATGCAAGTGCTGCTATAGTACTTGAGATGTATTTATGAAACAAACCATTCCTGCCCCATTGAATTTATATCCGATAAGTAGAAAAGTAAAATGCAGTATTTTAGGTGATAAATGTTAAACGAGTGAAAAAGCACCTTAGGGGAGAGAAAACAAAATAATAGTGTTTAGACTAATAGTGTTTAGAGAAGCTGGCCAGGTTACTTTTGAATAAAGACCTAGAGGAAGTGAGGGAGCTAGATACATAGGGGATAATTGATACATACATAGGGGATAATTGGAGTCAACGAAATATGGGATTTAGCATATAGGTTAGAAGCTTAAATCCATATATTAACATGAGTAGTTAATCCACAGTAACAGAAGTGAATGTAAACTATATGGGCAAAAATAAATATAGAATGTGATTGTGAGAGCTTCTGACTGTTTGAATTTTTTCAGTAAAACTATAAGCAAGTTTAGTTCCAGGAAATGTGCTTAAAAAGAAAGATACCAAAAAATTAATGAGAAATCTGTTGTGATAGATTTTAGTCATTAACTTTCTTATATGTTAGTAATACATATCCAACAAACACCATGGAAAAAGAAATCCCATTTAAAAATAAAAGCATATCTAAAATAATCTAAATTGAAACTAAGATAGACCCTAAGAAATGATTAAAAACTTTGCATTTTTAAAAGATTAATAAAGAGATACAAATAACTTCATATTGTATAAAGTTATGAATTTTCCCATAAAATACATATTAACCAATCCAGTAAAATCTAATTCCTTTTGATAATCCAGAGCAATAAAAAGGATAGGCACAGATGTGTTTATTTACAATAGGGGTTCCACCAGACAATATGTATACTAAGTACTAAAGGAGCAAAAGGAAAGTAAAAAATCTATGATGATTGAAAATTTAATGAATGTCATACATGCAAATAATTGATAATTTGTTTGAAAAATGGTGTTAAGAAAATTTGGTATCTGTTGGAGAAAAAAAATCTGAATTTTCCTTTTTAAATTTTTTTTCACCTTTATTGAAATACAAGCAACATTATGACTGCATTAAAGTTAAGTCACACAGCTTAGTGAGCATTGCAGTATAATCATTGTACTAAGATTTGGAACCACATCCATCACCTCACAATTACAATTTTTTCTTTTGTGATTAGTTTTTTTCATGTTTTTATAAGCTTCAGGCGTGCATCTTTAAAAATCATGTATATGCTATAATAAGGTCACCACTAAATGTTTAGTCCTGCCCTTCACCATACACTTGAGCCCAGTTACCTGATTTACTTGTCCTGGTCATCCTTCCCTTCTGTAATCACTAATTGGTGTAATAGTCTAAATGTTTTTATTTAGTTCATTCACTTTTTTTTTTCTCTACATATCCCATGATGAGTGAAATTATACAGTGTTTGTCTTTTTCTGTCTTGACTTGGTCACTAAGCATAGTACCCTCTATTTACCGCAAAATTTCAGATTTAAAGGGGATGGGAAGGAAATCAAAGTGAAAGCTTTTAGTTCCAAATTTTATTATTCTAGCCCTTTCTATTGAAACATTAACTTTATTCACTAAACTGAACTTAGCTTTATATATCTTTTAGAATAAACAAAATGTTACATTTTTGGATGAAATATTTTGAGACATTTGGAGAAACCTGTGTTCATTTCTTTGGCTTTTCAAATCATAGCAGGATTGCTTGTTTATGTTACACTATTTACATAAGTAGCCTAAAAATGAGAAACACTTTCTTCTTAAAACTATTTTGAAGTTTGAGATCAAACATAAAGTAATATCCATATCAAATCATCTAAATATGTTCTAGTTAGTTGAATACAAAAATCTAATTTGCAAAGTTATCTTTATAATAACTCTTCAGATTTGTTTTCTTCCAATTTGTGGTTCACTTACTAAGCCACAATAATTCCTAGTGTCTTTTATTTGCTTGGTCTAAGACCTTGTATGTTAAAAAAAACAGTTTTATTTTTTACTGGCAAAATAAAAGATTGAGTTGGTATGATGTTCTTAGTAGGAATTTAGAGAAAGGCTGGATTGAGGTTGCAACAAATTGGTACCAAAGGTAGGTGGGGTTTTCAAAAGAGAACAGCATTCAGGATAACAATTAGGAGATTCCAAAAAGGAGTAATTGATTGGGAATTATATTGTGAAATATAATGTGAAATTATATTGGTGGTCTATACAAAAAGGAGATGGTATTGTTAAAAATGTATTTTAGACTTAATGGCAGATTTGCATCAAACAATTAGGAGCTAAGATTTTTTTAAATCCAATTTTACTATTTGAACTATGAGAAAATGATAATTTTCCTAAGTTTTTAAGCAATTCATTTGATGAAAACAACTAATTGTATTTTCAGAAGTAGACATCCAAAAGTAAGGAATTTTGCAACTTGGTATACATATTATATGGAGTGTGGTTTAGTTTTAAACCCGAGTTGACATATCCTGGGAGTATTTATTTTTTAGTTTTCTTGTTTACTTGATAGACATTTACAACTGTATAGTTTTTGTAGGAGATGAATTTGTCGGAATCTTTTCAATTTAAAGAGGGTGCACATGTAGATGAAAATATGAGTTGTGATAGGTAGTGAAAAGAAAGAGGTTATTTCTACATGTACTGTAAATTATATTTAATAGTAAGTCATAGCTGGAATGATAATATGGTTATTCCCTTTGTAGTGTATTTATTAATCTTAGCCAAATTTGATAAGTAACCATTTCCTAAGGCTCCTTTTTTTAATTATAAAAGGTGATACATCTTTAGATATCTTTTTTTCCTCTCAGGGATGTTTGCAAACCTTTTCTTTGCTTCTTTTTTTCTCTCTCTCTTTCTTTACAGAGATTACGCACAGAAAATAGACTTTTAAAACAGCGCATTGAAACATTAGAAAAAGTAAGTAAATGACTACCAATATGAACTTCTGCTGAATGTTACAGTATTGTTTTCCTTCTGCTTAAAAATAAAAGCTCATGAAATCTCTCATGTCTCTGTAATTGTGGCATTGACTGCATAGCTTGCCTAACTTAATCCTACTTAACTGTAACAAATGTTTACTAAAAATCAGTCACTAGTCTTTGAATGTCATAGTTTAAATGAAGGCTGTTACTAGAGTAACATTGATATTACTTATTTTCTTTACATTTTATCTCTAAAAAGTATGTTCTTTGGAGGTAAACTAGTTGAGAATCCACTCTGTAGTATTTTAAAGATGCATTTCAAATGTTGCCCTGACCTTGTAGAGCAACATGACAATGTGACAGTGACACCTCTAAGAGACAGGATGCTTTAAGTTTAGGAATAATGACATATATAAAAACACTTAACATGATTTCTTTTTTATACACAGAAATTGTGCTGAAGCTTTTGGCTCTTAAAATGTTTTGATCTCTCTTGTACCTCTTCCTCTTTATTTCATATAAAACAATTGGATAAATGTGGAAATGTTGCATTGTTTTCATATTGTGCTTTTGATGTGATGTCATTTGTAGTCTTGTTTCTGATGCTATAAGAATGTATTTGAATAAAAATATAGTTAAGAGTTCTGGTTTATTAAAAGAAAAATGTCTGCATTCACAAACTCTTTTGGTGTTTTTTTGTTTTAACCAAAGATGAGGGTGTCAGCAGTATTAAAAGCATTTCTCAAGATATTGCCTAGTATCTTAAACTCTTTCGTGAAAATATACAATTCCATATTAAAGAAAGAAATTAATGAAAATAAGGATAGTTTGAATAATGGTCTTGCTTCAAAGAATTAGTCGTTTCTTACTAAATAACACTGAACAAGGATGGGGTGTTTATCACATACCTTTTATTGTATAGTAATTGCAGGTATATTAAGTCAAAAATGGTTTTCCTGTATTTCTTCTATCTTATGAGAGTTTCTTTAAGGGCAATTCTACTCTTTTTTTGGTGCCTGTATCAAAAGGTTGACCCTAATTGTACGTCATTTCAATTATAGACTTTTTTCACTAAGCACTTAGTTTAAAATACACATCTTCTGAGCTGGTCTTTTTATCTTTGAATAAGAAAGTTAAAGGGAGTCATTTTCACAGAGAGCATTTTTCTATTTCACATTGCTTCAGAATGATAAAGGTGCTATAGGAAATTGTTAAGTTTGGGATTTTAGAAAATTAGGAATATTTTTTCCTTAGATGGCCTAGATATGTACTTCAGCACTTAGAATTCTATAAATACTTACGGTATCAATTAAATTCTATAACCAAAAAATTTACTCATTTATTGCTAATGATTATTATGTGGAGCTCATTAATTTCATTTGTCATATTTTTCTTGCTTTGCATCTTTGGAAGTTGCTATTGCACAAATTGCTGTCATACTTTATAAGTGAAATTGCTTACTCAAATTCCTACTCCCTTTCATATAAGTGTCTTGACAATATGACTGACTCTAAAAATAAAGATGTAAAGGTATGCTTTAAAAGATACTTGCTTGTCATCAATATTGAAAAGACTCATAGAATTTATATTTGGTCTCTTCTAGAAGCACATGATTTTTTGCATTTCACTCTTATTTTGATACACTGATTACAGTTTGAGTAAAAGCACTTTATATAAAAAATAGTTTTAAAATTTAAACATCCTATTTAATTACAATGAAAAGTAGGTGGAATTTGGGTATGCTTTGTTTCTTCTTATTCCTGATTTTATCACCTTTATTTTATTTCTTTCTCTGATATTTCTATCTGAATTTTTCCTTTTGTAGGAAAGTGCTTCCTTGGCAGATAGATTGATACAGGTATAGTTTTTGATGTTTTTTTTCCAGCATTTTCTCTAACTTTACTTTAAAGGAAAGTCCTAAATCTAGCATTCATATTTTTAATGCATGCAATTTTACATGCATTTTTATAGAAATAATTTTTGGGTCACATATAGGTATAACCTTAATTTTAAATAACATACAATCTTGGCTTATTAAAATAAGTACCTTTTGCACGTTTTAAAGCTAACCTTATTTTAAAACATTTATTTCAAAAAATGACAATCAGTGAATTCTGAGAAATTCACAGCTATTCCTTGAAAATTTTAGTCCTGCATGTACAACTTAATAATAATGCATGAACTGAATTTTTTATTGACTGAAACAATTGTTCTTAAAATTGTCAGATGAATTTTTTTTTACTTAGTTTCCTTCAATTTGCTGGAGCAATAATGAGCTGCTGGCTAATAATTAAAACTCTCCTATTCTCTGAGGTGATTTTTTTTTAACCTGTCAAAGCAAATAACTAAACGTCACAAAGCAGACCTTTCTTGAATCTATCCTAAATTGCTTTACACACACAAAAATTATGTCCTAAGGGACAAGTGACAAGAGCCCAGGAGGCTGAGGAAAACTACCTCATAAAACGGGAGTTGGCCACCATCAAACAGCAGAGTGATGAGGCCAGTGCTAAGCTGGAGCAAGCTGAAAATACCATCAGGAAGCTCCAGCACCAACAACAATGGGTAAGGAGTCTGTTAGTGCTGTTTCTCGCTTTCTCATTCCCTTCCCTTTAAACCTTTTTTTTTCCTGCACAATTTTTGTGCTCCTGTTTTGAATAACTTTGTTTTCTTTTTTAAATGAATCCTTAATCAATGTTATGTTCTATATTAGCTTAAGGGTCTTATCATGGCCAAAAGACTCCTCATTGTAACTCTTCCACACAGTTTAGAAATAGGTAATATTCTTCCCTTATATTATGTTCTAAGTCACAGAAAATAAGTGCTGTATCTCAGGCCTGCTTTTTAGACTTGAAATCTGTTTCATGAAAGTATTTCGCCATGGCCAATTTTAATATATTTAATTCAGCAGATGAAATACTACCAAACATAGAATATATGTAATCTAATTTAAAACTTTGCTAATTTATAAGTTATGAAATACTATAGCCTTCAGGTACCACATCAAGACATTACATAATTGGTTAATATTTTGTTTACATATTCTTAGGAAGAGAGATTTTTTTTTTTTTAAAGATTTATTTATTCATATGGAACTGGGGTACAGGCCAGAGATGCGGAGGGTGAGAGGATTCACCAGAGACCGAGAGGGGAGCAGAACAGGCAGATCTACGAAGCACACTGCTGAGGGGAGCAGCGGGCGGGTCAGAAGAGGTCTGCCTCGCCATGTGGATCTCCTCCCGGGGCAGGCAGGGATCGAACTCATGCGGAAGTGGCTTTAGCTTCTCAGTGCTGTGCTTTAACTCACTGTGCCACCAGGGAGGGCCGGAAGAGAGATGTTTTTAAAATGAAAAGAACTTTAAAAAAATTATAACTAATTTAGGGATTATACAGTTTACCTCAGGTATCTTTGCAACTTAGATATCCTTCTCCATGGGCCAGTTTAAAGTAGTATGATTTTAATCAAGAACATGAAGGTGAAAGAGAAAACTCATCTTTGAAAAGATATTTCTTGTTTCAATTTTCTGTTCTCAATTAGGAGCTGGATTGTAGATTCCTACTCTGCATGAATCAGCAGAAAAAGTGTTAAAGCTAGAATATGTGCTTCTAAAAGGCAAATAGAATGACTTCAAAGTTGGACATTTTTATTCTGTTGTGGCTGTCCTTCTACCTAGGGCTGCAGCACCTGTGTGCCATGGCCTCTCTGCACCTGTGTGTGTAAACGATTAGAACAAGGCGCTTCCATATGGCTGCCTTGAGACAGTGACCCACATTACAAGATGTCTGGGGACGCCTCGGTAACTGTTGACTGATGGTGTGGTGAGGGTCCAAGACAGTTTAGGAGAGGCTTGAAAATTACACCGACCATCTTTACGGAAAGTTCTCCCTGTGTACACGACTGACAGATGTCCTCCCCTGTACCCTATATAGTTGATACCCTTTGATCCCTTTGGTGTTCCCCTGCATCCTATTTCTCCTGCCATTGTCCCATAACCAGGCCTGTTCACTGTCACTAAAGAAATAGCAAGGGGGCTGTTCTCTGAGCAGCAACATCTTGCCCTGCAAACCTGCTCCATGACTCATCTCTCAGATGTGACCCCGGGGGTGTGTAGGTGCATCCCTGTCCTCCATATTATTTAGTATAAAATTATGAAATATCATCATCTTGGTGTAAAAATCAGGACACTGAAAGCTACATGCAAAAATTGGCAATTGAAAAAATTGGCATTTTTTTTTTAGTTTTTATTTTTTAGCAACCAGAATTGTATTTATTTTTATTGAGGTTACATTGGTTTACATCATTGTTTGTGTGTCAGCACAGATGTTTTACCACACTGTAACCACCACCAAGACATTTATAGTTCACTATATAGTCCATAGCCTCGATTCTGTAGGCAACCTTCTGGGGTTAGTTCTTAGTTTGTCTTTATCTAGCCCTTTGCTTGGTTTCTTTGATTTCCACATATTAGAGACACTACCCATTATTTCTCTCTTTTCTGACTTAATTTCACCGTGTCATCCCCTCTGGTCCATCTATGTTGCCAAAGATAGCAATAGTTTATATTTTGTGATAATTGAGTAGTAGTTTATCATTGCATATACCATATCTTCTTTACTTATCTGTTTTGGGGCCCATAGGTTGTTTTCAAGGCTTGATTATTATAAATAATGCTGTAGCGAACACAGGTGTATGTGTTTCGCTTCAATTGGTGTTTTTATATTGTTTGGGTAGAAACCTGGAAGTGAATTTGCTAGGTCATATGGCAGATACAGTTTTATTTGAGAAACTTCTATACCCTTTTCCAAAGGGGCTGGACCAGTCTACCGTCCTATCAACAGTATAAGAGGTTCTTTTTCCTCTTCATCCTCAACAGCACTTGTTGTTTTTATTCTTTTTGATATGGGGCTTTATCTCATTGTGGTTTGATTTGCATTTCCCCTACAATAAGTCAAGTGATGATGAATGTTTTTTCACCTGTTGGTTATCTGTGTATCTACTTTGGAGAGGTGCCTGTTTCAATGCTCAGCCCACTTTTTAGATGAGGTTATTTTCTTTATGTTGAATTGTTTGAGTATTTTTTGTAAGTTTTAAGGTTTTTTTTTTTTTTTTCATAGAAGAACTGGGGTGTGGTGGTAAGAGGATTCTCCAGAGACATAGTGGGGAACTGAACAAGCAGTAGGTGAGACAGAAGAGGTCTGTTGAACCATGTAGGTTAGCTCCCTGGCTGGGAATTGAACTCAGGCCTTAGCTTGATAGTGCTGAGACTTAACACCTTGACCAGCACAAAGACCCTCTTTAAAGTGTTGGGTCAGCTGTTTGTGTGGTATAAAATATTTCCATTAGTAGGTTATCTTTGTTTTAATGGCAGTTTCTTTTTCTATGGAGAAACTTTTTAGTTTGATGTAGTCCCAATTATTTATATTCATTTTTGTCTTCTGTGCTGCTTGGGACAAATCTACAAAAAAAAAAATCTCTGAAACCTGTATTGTGAAGTATTTTACCTATATTTACTTCCATGTATTTATGGTTTCCAACTGTTTTATCCATTCTGAGTTGACATTTGTGTATGTTTTGAGGTAGTGATCTAGTTTCATTCTTTCACTTGGAGCTTATACTTTTTTCCCAGCACCACTTATTGAAGAGGCTTTCCTTGTTCCATTGTATATTCTTTATTTCTTTATTAAAAATTTATTGTCATACAAATGAGGGTTTATTTCAGGAATTTCAATTTTTTTTTTCATTGTATCTGTATATTTTTTTTTTCTTTCAGGTCATAATGTTTTGATCAAATAACTTTGTAATACATTTTGAAGTCTGGAATTATGATGCTCCATTTTCCTTCCTTTTTTTTTTGGCTATTTGGAGTCTTCTGTGGTTCCATATGAATTTTCCGTCCCACCCACTGCTCTCCTCAGCAGTGTATTTCAGTCAGTCCATCTGTTCTATTTCACACTTTCTCTGGTGAATCCTCTCACCGCTCCCCCACACCTCTGGCTTGTACCTCAATTCTTATATGCATAAATAAATAAAAATCTTTTTGGCCCTCCCTGGTGGCGCAGCGGGTTAAAGCACAGCATTGAGAATCTAAAGCTGCTTCCGCATGAGTTCCATTCCTGCCTGCCCCGGAGATGACCACATGGCGTGGCAGACCTCTCCTGACCCGCCCACTGCTCCCCTCAGCAGTGTACTTCCTTTCTGCCTGTTCTGTTCCCCACTCTGTCTCTGGTGAAGCCTCTCACCGCCCCTGAGCCTCTGGCCTGTACCCCAGTTCTGTACGCACAAATAAATAAATCTTAAAAAAAAAATCTTTTTAACAAATCATGTTGAATCTATATATTGATTTGAGTTGGATGGCCATTTGACAGTGTTTATTCTTTCAGTTCATGAGGAATATCTTTCCACTTCTTTCTGTCTTCTACTTTAACAGTGTCTCATAGCGTTCTTTGTATAGATCCTTTACCTCCTTTAAGTTTATTCTTAGGTATTTCATTTTAGGAGGTGTAATTATAAATGGGCTCATTTTCTTAATTTTTATTTTAGCTTATTGTTTGTTTATAGAAAAGCAATTCATTTTTGTCCATTGATTTTGTAGCCTGACACTTAGTTGGCCAATTTATTGTTTCAAATAGTTTTCCATTGGCATATTTATGAATCTCTGTGCATATTATCAGGTGATCTGCAAATAATATAGGTTTCTTCTTTTCCAATTTATATTATTTTATAGGCTCCTGTTACCTAGTTGCTCTAGCTAGGACTTTGAATATTATGTTGAATAATAGTGATGAAAGTTGATATATCCTTGTGTTGGACCAGATCTTAGGGGAAAGTATTCAGCTCTTTCACCATGGAGAATGATGCTAGCTGTTGGTTTGTCATGTAGGGACTTTATTATGTTGAGATATGTTCCATTTATTCCCAGTTTTTCAAGGCTTTCAACATAAGTGGCATCTGTTGAGATGATTAAATGGTTTTTGGTTTTCCTTTATGTGGTGATTTACATTGATTGACTTTTGTGTCCCTTGTATAAATCCCACTTGGTCATAGTATATAATCCTTTAAATGTTTTATTAGGTTATATTTGCTAAGATTTTGTTGAACATTTTTATTTATGTCTGTGTTTTGTTAGAGAAGTTAGTCTGTATTTTTCTTTTTTCTTTTTTTTGTATTTTCTTTGGTTTTACTATTAGAGTAATGGTGGCTTCATAATGTGTATGAATGTATTCCATGTTTATTTTTGCAAAAGTTTTGAGCAGGATTGCTATTAGCTCATCTTTGAAGATTTGGTAGAACTTGTTTGTGAAGCCATCTGGTTCTGGGCTTTTGTTTTTTCAGAGTTTTGATTACTTTTTATTTCCCTTGCTTGTAATTCATTTATTCATTTTTTTTGTTTGTTTCTTCCCTTTGGAATCATTGTATAAGTCTAAGAATTTGTCCAACTTCTAAGAATTTGTTATTGAACTTATTGACATACAAATATTCGTAGTAATCTCTTATCATCCCCTGAATTTCTTCCGATGTCTGTGGTAACTTCTCTTTCATTTCTGATTCTATTTGAATTTTCTTT